AATATACCACATACCAAGAATGCTACGTCAACACGATTTGCATCATTGAGCCTTTGTGGATAAAAATTGTTAAAACATATCCTACCAACAGAGCGAGTCCAGATGTGCCGAAAGGTTTCATTGGTTTCCAAGGTGGTAAACATAAAATAAAACATAGGACATACAATTAGTAACGCTTTGTAACGATTTCGAATGCGCTTTTCGCGTCTTTGATCTTGAATGCGAGCATCTTCAAGTAAATCCTGTGAGCTGTGTAGTCGGCTTCCCTACCTGTTCGCCTGAAGTTTTTCCACAGTACTCTCTTTTTGTGAATCATCTGGATTAGCCGATGATTGATCCAGGGCTTTTTCTTGGATCTCATAAATTCTTTCGTGGTGGAATGCAAGGAATGAAGCTCAACCAAACGCGACTTGAATATCTATTTCTAGATTATTGTAATCGGTGTTAATATGCACAATTGTGGTAGTTTTACTACTACTCGGAAGGCTGAGCTGCAAACTTGCCATAATTGTTTCGTGATCCGACTTACCAATCGGATTGATATGCTCCAGGTTCGTGAGCAAGTCGGGTTATAAGACAAAGCAAGATCAAGAAGTGAGGGACGCTGGTTGATTTTGAATGTGGTGGGTTTTAGTATCAATTGCGATAGATGGAAATCATTTAACATATCCACTAATTATTGGGCAGACCGGTTCGGAGTTACAGATAAACATAAGGGCCACTTTATGTCCAGCATATTGAAGTTACCAAAAATGACAAGTTCATGATGGCTAGTTAAATAGCCAAATGTATAGATGACAACCCGAACAGGTACATTGTGAAACTGGTTGCCGAAGCTGGAAAGTGATAACACTGATAGTAATCTTTTCAGCAAAAACTCAGTGTTTTTCTTTTTCCATACAATTTAATGGTTGGATATCTGCGGTACCGCCCCCAGTTTTTTTTTTGTTTCTTTTAAATTTCTTGCAGCTTTTTGTTTCGTCCGCATGCGCAGATCCTGAGACGTCTAAAATAGAAATAAAATATTTCAATATTTTGTTTAATTGTTATTCATAGCTTTCGCCAAGATTTCCAGTTACGTCCTGGACCCGGCAAGATGTTTAATTCCTCTGCCAATTTCATCCATAAATTCCGTGCGTCCACTTTTGTGAATCCAGAGAGGAAAATTTTCCCGAAAGCAATTTTGCATTACGCTGCATAAACTCTATTAAACAGCTTTTTAAGTCTTCACTCACTTTCATTTTTGATTTTATACTTGGGTATTTAAACTTCATAAATGAGAACTTGTCAAACTAATTTGACAGTTGTTGCGCAGTTGCCATATCGTTTCGGTGAGAAAAAGCGTCAGTGCATTTTGTCATCTCACTGGTTGTTGAGAGTACAATTAAGAAAATGAGTGACTTTGGAAATGATGAGTTTTCTCATCAGTGACAAATGTCACGCAAGTCGAGAGTAGACCCCCTGGTCGCCCCCCAGTTTTATAAACTGCTATATTACGTACTTCATAGCGGAATAAAATATTATAGATAGTTCATTTAGCAACTCCTTCTTGTGCAAAGTGCCTGACGACGGCTTTTTTAATTTTTTTTGCACTGTAATAAATTGTGGGTCGCCATGTAATAGATGTTGTTTTAATTTGATGGGACCATTTGAAGAATACACACTCAACCCTTCTTAACCCATTTATTCACTACCGATGTACATTGGAGACCCCTCATAAATTATCACTTCCTATCCTATGTTAGTTGCTGACTTATGCTATATTAGTATTTCGTAACTTAACGCTTACTCTACAATAAATAAAATGAATGCTTACTGTGCAGCACAATTTTCGAAGCAGTGGCCCATTCTTTTGGCTAATTCTTGATTCTTCGGAGTTCTCATTTTGAAATGACAAATAGTAAGTTTCTGGGAATTTATGTTACTTATTCACTACGAAATGTTCTTGATAACTACATGCGCACTTGACGTTTACTTTGACAGCTCGTATTTAAAATACTTAAACCAAATTGTGCCAGGAGTTACAGAACATACTCTAATAGCGAAAGAATGGGAGAAATTACCAGTACAACATGGATGCTTGTATGTTATAAAATATAAAGACGTTTTTTAAGGAGTATTTTGTTTCTGAAGGAGCTATACCATGGCAATGGAAGAGAAATTAATGATAGTTATGCTTGTTGTGTATTGCATGTATTTATAATAAAAAATTGAAAACAAAAATTCTAATCGTGCAATCCACATTCCTCCTCTTTTTCATATAACAATTGGAGAATCTGAATCTCCAATTGTGATCTTGCCTTTGATGGCAACCCTTGCAGCTCTGCTGTCAAACGTGTGCAGAAGGCATCACTTGCATCCGGTATATGGCTGGTTTCGTTCAGTGCCTCAACTATTAAGGCCGCCGAACTAGCTTGAGTCTGTCTTTCAAGACGCTTCCTTTTTGTGTTTGTTGCACCACTGGAACTAGTACTGGTTATCGTGCTGATTGAAGCACTGGTACTTGGGCTGGTAGAAGCACGGGAACTTGTGCTGGTTGAAGGACTGGGCTCAGGTTGATTCGAGGGAACATTTGTTATTGTTTTTCTGGGTTTTATAACATCCCTCAAAAATAACAACAATGTGTAATACCGCCACTTAGGGGGTGGTGTTCCACCCTCATCCCCAGAACGCTTGGCCATTGAGGATTGGAATTCCTTTACAAAGCGATCCCACAAACTACGCCAGCGCAGTTGAATTTCTTGGAGGTCCCTAAAATGCCCATCAACCTCCATGACCACTTCTTCAGACTCAACTGCCAGTTCCTCACCGTATGTATTAAGTAATTCCGTTTAATAATTTAATATATTTTCTTTGAATGTGCAGTAGAAAGCTCGAAAGTTAAAGTACCCAAAAAACACGTGATTTTGGGCATGCAAGTATAATAATACCATTTACTGTACATTCAGGCCACTTTATTTGGCTACACAGTTACGTATTATACCATGTTTATGTTTTAAAACTTAACCTCAATATTATAGATAGATAGAATGTTACCGTACCGCCCTCGGCTCAATGAATCTCGATTTCTGATTGGCCAAGGGGTGAACGGAAACGTACGACCGGAGAGCAATGAACCATCGAGTAGTAGTAAACAAGAGGGGACAGTCCCATATAAAATTTTGAGGACAGACGCTACCTACCGTTATGAATTCGTACTAACTTTCAGCCGCGCGAACTATAAAATACTTTCAGTTGTGTCTAAATATTCTAAGTATTTTATACCCGACCCATTCTGAAGAGAGAACATTTTATAGTGTAAAATTGTTCCCATTACAACGCAATGGTACTTAATGTACACTATAAAATGTGGTCTCTTCAAAATGTGAGTTATATGTAAGTGACGAGCAAAGTACTATACGAAACGGTTTGACTGAAACGCCAATAATTGTTAATATAACAAAAATAATTAGCTTTATTTCACTTATTAATGAGTAACACAAATTTGAACAAAATACTATAACAACTCTGCATATTAAAAAACAAATCATACATACAACATTACATAAACCTGTATACATGTAAAATAAATAATGTAGTTCGAATGTAACATCTAAAATGTTATAAAAAAATGCAAAATAAAGAAGTCACAGATGTGCATTTGCAGGTGCATATTGTTTCAAATACTCATCAATAATTTGATTTTGTCGGAAATCTTTTTTATGCATTTTTTTATTCACAAGTCCTACGAAATGTTTCACCATTATGGCAATTAAAGTGTACCTTGTAAAATGAAGAAGTTGTTCATGATGCACTTCACAATGTACAAATTCTAAATTAATGTCAACGTCCATTAGTAAAAAGTTTTTGTTATTAAATTGCGGAATTTTCTGGAAGATGATTTTTTTTTTATACACAATTTCTGCAATAAATGCTTTTGAAGGGTACATTAATTTATTCCCAAAGTCTCTTAGGACAATATATGCGTGTGAATCTGTAATTTCATCGCTCAGTAATGCTGCTCTGCATGATACACAGTTTTGAGGGAGAATTTTTCGACAAATATAGCCAGCTATATATGCGGCTGTATTTTGACGAACTTTGGCGAGTTCTCTAATTTGCAGCCGCGTAAGTTGCGAATGTATGTTAAAACCACCTTCTGTCTGATGAGAACCAGGCAATAGAGAAGGTTTAGGTATTAACGAGACAGATGCGGAAAGATTTTCAGTTTGTGGGATAAAAAGATCTATCAAAACTTGAATAAATGATGAAATCGCAACCGAGTAAATTTAAAATTGCCAAGGACAATTGTATTTGGTCCATATACCCATGCCGTCTCTTCAATTTCCAACCTACCCCCTCTGAAAATTCCATGTACTCCAATGATAGAAGACATTCAGTAATGGTTTTTTTGTACCTATAAAAACAAGTTTTCATAAAAAGTTTTCAGTTACAAGTTCGCTTGGTTCACCTAAAACAGGACATTTAATTTCCAATGAACGAATTGGTCGTTTATCCCGAAACACAATGCCATCAGGAGAACAGGCCAACCATGGATTCTTTTGGTACCCAATCAGCCCACACTGGATTACAGTTTCGGCACTTGGGAGATTGGTCATATATGCTTGCCGGGCAAAATCTTCTTGGTTGTTGCCATATCTTGTGGCATAGGTTCCCTTAAATGATTTGGGATAGAAATATTTCACGGCTTTGGTATGCCAGTCATCCTGACTGTATGTAAATAAGGTGTAACATCTTGAACCTGTAACATCATGTTAAATAAGGTCACAAAAATTATGATTACAAACCGGTTATTCTATACCGTCGTTCTTGCATCCATGTGGCTTTGCTTTTAAATGTGTCTTTACAAATTCCAAATCCGTCGCATGGATACAATTTGTTGTAGGTGGCTACGCAACACCTCCGTAAGGGAGTATCTATATTAACCGGGTATATTACCTCAGTCAATTCGCTCCGATAAGCATTGTCGCAAATTGCACTGAAGAGATCATCCCTGCAAAAGAGAAAAAAACAGCAGCTGCAAAAACTTTTAAATAAAGATGTGTTTATATCATTAACAATTGCTAAGGCTTGATGATGCCATTTATAACAATTATTTGATACAACCTAGACCTATCTTCAGGATTAATAGTCTCCTTGAACAGCATGGCAGCTCCAGAATTCGGGAGAACTATTAAAAAAAAATAAATGATAATATGAAATCAATTTATATAATTTGATGTCTACCTTCAAAGCACTTTTGTACGAAATCTTCTGGAATAATTCCTGCCATATCACATTTGGAATGCTCCGATGACTTAACATGGCAAAATTGTTCCACAGGAACAACTTCTACTAGTTCTTCCCGCTTCCGTTTGCCCCATGTCTGGGGAACATCGGTGCAACTAAGAAGGCCTATATTCTGAGCACTAAAATTATAATGAAATGTTTATGATTTCAACAAGAAACAATGCAGCTGACTTGTAAACATACAGTAGGGTGGCAACTATGTGCTTACATTTCCCTCCTGCTCCTGCTTTGCAGCTACAGACACAGTTCCACTGTCTGTAATCTGATAAGACAAACCATTATTAGGTCTATATTAACATATTTTCAGAATGTCACATCACCTGAATAATCTGCAAATTGAATTTAAATTTCGTGAGGTGCTGCACTAATTTTTGAGGCTATGCACCGTGCTTCGATGTTTTGTCAGGCGCCTTTCTTGTACGTTTAGATTTTCTAGGTAACTTTAGGGTGACCATTTTCTTCTGAGTCCAACGCGGGACAAAATAATAATAATAGTAACAATAATAAAACAAAAATATCTTGAACACAATTTTTAATAAGAATAAAATATATATTATAAAAAAATGAGAAATAAAAACAATAAAAAATTTATTTGTATTTTTCAACAGAGTGAACTTGTTTTAAAAGTTCACAATACTTATTTTTATTACTCCTATCCCTCTTTTATATCAAAAATTGCACTACAAAAGTTTAACACGTTGTCCGTTGTCACTGACTTATAGGTTATGTGCCGTCATTACTCAATACTCACAGTCACAGTCACAGAATACTTAAGAAATGAAACCTAAACAAATTTGTGCCCTCTGAACTCGAAGTATGGTACTAAAGCAGCAAATGAATGTTTTATTATTATTATACTGGGTGTTAACCTCTAGTTGGAGAAAATTCCGAAAATCAGAGAATGCGGGACAAATGCGGGACACTTCACTCCGTAGGACAGTTTGTTAAAATGCGGGACTGCCCCACCAAATGCGGAACGAATGGTTACCCTAGGTAACTTACGTGGTAAAACTATCTCTAGATTGTCCCCGCCTCATGGCCTCTTAAAAGCTATATTAATTTTTGTCGGTATTATATTGTATTTATTTTAGTATATTGTGCTGTGTTTACTAGGATAACGTAACTGATTTACATGTCCTGTTCTAACTACTAATTATATATACAACTGGGCTCCTTTGGCCAACCATAACAGCTGGTAACCACTTAATATAACTTTTAAAGTGATTCCTATACAACACTTCTTCCGCTTTAAAATATTTAGGAACCTTTTTTTACGGGCGAATGACTCTTATTACCCACGTTTTACATGTTGTTGTTTTTTAAGCCTATTGTTTATAATACCACATCTAGGATTTAATGAATTCGCGACAGTTCTCACTTTGTAAGAAAAAATCCTGTCGGAGGGTGAATCCGATACTATTATATGCAGACGTAAACCTTAGTATTTTCTCATCAATCGTATGAGAGGCGTTCAATGTATTCTCGGTATCTGGTATTTCTGATAAAGATTTTGGTAATTTGATCACTGAATAAGAAAGATGCGTTCATTAGAGGCAACCATGCAAAATTTCATCTCATTTGGATCTTTTGTTTTCCGGCAATTAATTGTCAAAGTCTACGAAAATGGCTGTTCCGAACAAAATGCAAAAAATCGAACACCGTGCTGTGATAAAATTCCTTACAAAACAAGGAAAGAACCAAAAAATCATCTTCAACGAGATGAAGGCGGCTTACGAAAAGTCTGCGCCTTCATTCTCCAGAGTTCAGAAGTGGTCAAATGAATTTAAAAGGGGCAGAGAGACCAGTGAAAACGACCCCCGCGCCGGTGGGCTGGTCACTGCCACTACTGACGGAAATATTAAAGAAGTGGAGGAACTTATATTGGAAAATGTCCGAATCAAGATAAAACTTTGGCAGAAATGACTATTCTATCATTCGTACCGTTCACATGATTCTCCATGACCATCTATACCTCTCCAAGGTCTGTGTAAGATGGGTTCCACGAATGCTCACAGGACCTCAAAAACATGTTCGAGTTGAGTGCTGCAGGGAATTTTTAGAGCTCTGTGGTGAAGACCCATCGAATATTTTGGATCGGATTTTCACTGGTGATGAATCGTGGGTTCATCCCTACGACCCTGAAAGCAAACAAGAATCCATGCAGTGGCATAAAAACACATAGGTGATTTACGATGCTTGACTTCCAAGCGGCAAGAAGAGGTACCTTCTTTTATATCGTTTTGATTTTTTTCGCCAAATTCTTTGTCATATGCCATACGTCAAACTGATGATTGAGTTCCGAATACTTATTAGTGCATAATAAGTGTCGGATGCCTCGATGTCTGTGGCACAAAAATACGCCAATTTTTAAATCTTCATGAATTAATTTATTGAGAATTTTGTCACATGGCGCATTTTTTAAATCGCCTTGGCAAAATTTGTAAAATTTTCGAAACTCAGACCTGTAGAATAAATAGCAGCGCAGTTTTATTGTTCCTACAGAAAGTTTATTCACTATAGGCTGAGAGCGCCAGATAAAAATATGTTCAGCTACGCAAACGGTTTTTATTATTACCATTGATCCCCGTTTTGAATGGGTCACTGCGCTTACGCGTTTCCCACAAATATGACAGATTTTAAATAATTGCAAAATATGCTGTCCAAAAGTTAAAACTATGCAATCGTTCAAAGAAAACATATTATCGTTTGCAGTACCATCCAGTTCTTTTTTGTCCATATCCAAATCGGTTCCTTCAGAACTTTCACGATTGTTGTAACAAATGTTTATTATTATTAATATATATACAGGTGGTGGTATAATAAGCATACTAGTACAAGAATATATATATATAGTCCAGACAGAGAAACTTAATTTAACCGCCCAGGTAGAGTCCGTCGCGCACAGTTAACAGTCCGTCACGCACAGGTATGAGTCCGTCGCGAAACTATACTACGGGTAATGTTCGTACTTACACACGTAAATTCCATACTCGTACACGTAGACTCCGTACTCGTAGCAGTCCAGCCACTTACCCCTCTTTTTAGGAGAAGTGAGTCCGCGGATCAACCCGGCGGGAAGTAAATGGGCTAAGACTTCGAGTATCAATGCAGAAAAAAAACGCAAGACCTAGGACTGGGTATCCAGCTCGCTGCAAGGGCTTAGTGTTTTTCTAGACGCGCAATCTTCCACGATGAGTATCCATTTCTCTTCCTGGGGGCCACGGGGAAGGGGTCTAAACAAACTTCAAAACGTTGTCGCATTATCGGAATTTGAAGTAAGCCAGCGGGTCGTTGATTACTGGCTTTATAGCGTTGACAGGCACCATAGTGTTGGATGTACTCCCGAATATCTCGTTTTAATCCGGGCCAATAAAATTTCCGGGAAATCTTATGATGGGTGTGGTCTACCCCATAATCACCTGCCGTGCGTGAATCGTGATATTCTTGCAAAATTTTCTTGCGCTCATTAGCGGGTACTACGAGCTGTGCTTCTTCGTTATCGTCATCGGACGTGTAGCGATACAGAATTCTTTGGGTCAGCAAATATCCGCGAGCCAACCATCGTTCGGTTTCTTCTGGGGTCCCGTGTTCGTAGGCATCAATAATTTTCTTTACCTCCGGGTCTTCGAGTTGTTTCTGTCGGAGAATTTCGGGTTTTTCTCGCGGCATTTCGATCGAAATCAGCCCGACGTGGCACTCTTCGGTCGACTGAACTCCTGGTGGCCGTGACAGGGTGTCGGCGACTACGTTGGCTTTCCCTGGTGAGTAATCAAGTACTTATTGTTCAATAAACTCAATCAAAAGGATAACCTCCTTATCTGATTTTCTGATTAACAGGTTTTTTTCATGTAGGGGAACAGCAGACCAGAGAAAACCGATTAATTGTAATTCACCTTTGTTTAAGCCATCTGAGTTTTCGCTCAGAATAAAAGCTTGTTCAGTGTCGAAAAACGGAGTATTCGATCCTTAAGTTGTACGGCTGGACTTGGAGGGACTATCGAGCTAGTCGTCCACTCGGAGACTTTAGGCTCATTAGCCAACGCAATGGCTGATGATCGGTAACAACTATGACGGGCGCTTCTTCCAGATATCCGCGAAACTTATTTACTGCCCAGACAAGGGTCAGGGCTTCTCTTTCGGTGGTTGAGTAATTCCTTTCAGGGGCCGATGAAACTAGTGAGTTATTAGCTTGGAGTACTAAGCTAATAACTCACTAGTTTCATCATCCACCTCTAATTGATTGTAAGCATTTAAAAAATCTAACTTAGTAAACTTCTCACCACCTTGTAAGGCTGCAAATATTTCATCTATACGAGGTAAAGGGTGATGCACATCTTTTAAATATTTATTAATAGTGATTTTATAATTAGCACAAAGTCTGATATCTGTCCCATTTGGTTTCATTACAGGAACTAATGGAGTTCCCCATTTAGCTGTTGGTACTTTTTCAATTACACCTAATCGCTCTAACCTATTCAGCTTTTTTTGTATTTTACCCTTGAACGCAAGTGGTTCTGGCCTTGGTTTATGAAAAATTGGAGTCGCATTTTCGATCATTTCAAGCCTGATTTTTTCCTCGTTATAGCACCCTAACTCATCAGTAAAAAGTTGCTTAAATTCATTAAGCAGTGGAGTCAAAATCTGAGGATTGCTTGCCATACTAAGCGCGTTAACATCATTCCTTATAGTTTGAATACCTATGCTAAATTTAGTTAACAAATCTCGCCCCATTAAAGTTCTACATGCTTCTCTAACTACAATTAGCTTGCCTTCTACTTCTACCTGCTTATATTTAATTTTGACAACAATTTCTCCTACAGGATAAATAATTTGCCCATTATATGTCCTCAGTTTAACTCTAGTTGCCTGTAATTTTACTTTTGAAAAATTATGTTCATAAATATTGAGTGGAATACACGATAGTGCTGCCCCTGTATCTACTTCAAATTTTACAGCACAATTATTAATTTTGGCATATACATAATATGGCTCTATATAGTTATTTGAGTATACCTCAGTTATTTGAAAAATTTCAGAATTGGAACATTCACCATTAACTATCTCTTCAACACTCTAACTAACACAATGATTTCTAACAATCTTGCTTTTACAAGCCGCCGCGATGTGCCCTCTTGTTTTACATTTAGCGTATACATAAGATTTGAACTTACAATTTTTAAAATTATGGTTACCCTTATTACAGTGATAACAGCGCTTCTCTCCTTCAGGCCGTGCTTTTCCCTCATTCTTCTCCTGAAACTTCACCACTCGATGTATTCCGATTTCGTGTCGTGTTTGCCGTAGAGCCACTTCTTTTGTTACTGCCAGTTCGTAAAGATCCTGTAAGCTCTTGTCGAGAGACTCTTCGCACAGTCTATCTAAGATCAACCCTGG